TCGTACGTGAACCCCTGCCAGATTCCTTGACGAGAATCTTAGCTTCAGACAGGTTTCCGCATACACTTTTGTAACACCTTTGGCAACATCCATGATGGCCCCTGGTCTGCCGGAGATCGCGCTGAAGTACGGTATAACAAGCGAAACGATCATTTCAATGGTTTTAAGCATCTTCCTCTTGACCTTTGCCTTTGGACCGCTGTTCCTCGCGCCGCTCTCAGAGATTTATGGTCGAACATGGGTACGAGCGTCGCGTCACATACAATTCCATACAGCTTCTGACGATCATAGCAGATCTTGCACATCGGGAATCTTCTGTTCCTAGTGTTCAACCTTATTTGCGCGTATGCACCAAATACAGGAGTTTTGCTCGGAATGCGATTAATCTGTGCGTTTTCCCCCACCTTCGATCCCCCTAAGGCTAACATGGTAGGCAAAGGCGGTTTTGTTGGTAGTGCACCTATTGCTTGCGGCGGCGGTACTATCAGCGACTTATTTTCAGAAAGGGACCGTGCATCCGCCATGGCAATCTACAGCCTAGGGCCTCTCATTGGTCCAGCTGTAGGCCCCATTGCAGGTGGTTTCATCACTGAAACTGTCGGCTTTAAATGGGTGTTTATCGTGATTTCGGTGCTGTGTGGTATTGTATCCATCGTTGGTATACCACTACTACGTGAAACATATGCTCCGGTCATTCGTTTGAAAATTGCGAAACACTCGGCGGACCCAGAAAAGGCTGCAAAGGCCCACCCTCATTTGATGCAGAACCACGGTAGTGGACTTCATCTAATTTGGGTAAACATCTCAAGACCTTTTATTCTCCTTACTCGAAGCTTTGTCTGCTTCGTATTGAGCTTGTATATGGCCTTGTGAGTAAACGCTCTTCTTGACGAGATAGACCACCATATTCTGACAAGCTCTCACAGTATGTATGGTATCTACTACCTCATGTTCACTACTTTCCCAGGTAAGTAACTCTTCCATTCTCTGATGCTGTCTGAATATAATGGCATGGTTGCTCTAGAACTATTCTCGGTCACCTATGGATTTTCTCCTGGTATACAGGGCCTCTGTTACATTGGCCTCGGCTTCGGCTTTGTTTTGGCGACTATCATTGGGGCTAGTGTCGCTGACAAAGTTTATCATTCAGTGAGTGACTCTAGCTGGCTCTATTACCGATGTTGAATTCTGACTTTATACGGCTTCAGCTCTCTATCAGAAATGGCGGGAAAGGTAAACCAGAGTTCCGTGTCCCTGCGCTCATCTTTGGTTCGTTCTTTGTCCCAGTCGGGTTGTTGTGAGTATTTCTTGCCTTTTTATACACTGATAGTCATTCACTAACTATATATGAAGTTGGTATGGTTGGTCTGCACAGGCTAAGATTCATTGGATTATGCCTATAATTGGTACTGGCGTCTTCGGTTTTGGGATGATGACAACGTAGTACGTTAATAGCCTTTTCCATCGGTAATTATACTCATTGACCTCTCTCAGCTTACCCATTCAGTTGTACCTTGTTGATACTTTTACTTATGCTGCTAGCGCGCTCGCGGCTGCATCCGTACGTCCAGTCATCTCACAACCATAAATAGTACGGTGGCTCACTACGTCTGCATTCCAATAGGTCTTCCGTTCCACTCTTGGGTTTGCATTTCCTCTCTTTGGTTCGCAGATGTACGCTGCACTTGGTAACGGAGGGGGCAACTCACTTCTTGCTGGCCTTGCGATTGTCCTCGGCATACCTTTCCCTGTATGGCTTTGGTACAAGGGAGAGGAAGTCAGACAAAGGAGCACTCTCAGCCGATCATAAATGCTTAGCATCCTCTTTGACGACAAGATACGATCTACGAACGGCTGGGTACCCGTGACATAAATTGGCGGGCATCCCACGGGAAAATTAGAATGTTGGGGAGCTCAACCGTGGAAGTGCATACGAGTCCGAGGCCAGCTTCTCGAGCTTCGCCCCTTCGCTTCCCGCGTGACTTCCGCGGCGCTGGTGCCACACCCAAACATTAAACTACTACTTCAAGTGCGCTATTTTGTTGCCGTCCGAGTGACTTGCTATTCTACACTAGAGTTATACCTCTTGTATCTAGAGTATAATCATTTCCATGGCCATGGACGTCTAAATTCATTATTAGAGCTGGAATTGTCGTGCCTTAATGTAAGCTTGCATCACCATCGGCGGTCGTTGGTGTGACACTGAAGCCGCTATGGACATATGTTTGTATGTTGGCACAGCACTCGATGTTTACGCCTTTCAGCCTCGTCTCTTGACTGCAGAGCTTTGTACGGACAACTAGCCAAGTGCTTGTAAACTATTGACCATAATTCAGTGTATTACCTAGCGCCACAATAAATATCAGGGGTGGATATTAAAGTCACTGCGTTCAGTTATAGGTTGTAAGTAGCAGTTTCCGGGGTCACAGCTAATTGATTGTGGCCTTGAACAGCAGGAGAAGTCCGATCGACACGAATGTTATAGTAAGCTTCAATGACCATAGCCAGGTATCAACAGGCTCATGGTGACAAGTGTACAAATCCCGCGGGACGATACTGTATAGGACAAGGAAATATGAAGAAAGCTCAGGAAAAAGGTCAATGTCATTCATGATCTGCCGGCACCAAACCCTCTGCTTTTACTGGTCCCAAGTCCACCTCCACCGAGTATGTCTTCTCCACCGGCGGCTTTGACGCGACGCTCAACTTCGGTGACCTTTGAATCTACTTCCTTCACTGCGCCGTCTATCCATTGCAGACTCTCAAGATGATTGCTCAACACTTGAGCAATCTGCGTCATAGGGTCATCATTCGAAGCAGTTGCGCTGTCCGAAGTGTTCGAGAGTTCATTTACAGCTTCGATCATCTGTGAAAGTGAACCTGACAAATCGTCAAGATGCCCGTGCAATTCTGTCGCGAGCACGTAGCTGTGATGCGCGTATATCAGCGAGCCAAAACGAGTACACAAATAATATAATGGGCGCACTTCTTGTCCCTCTCAGTATCCGCTGGGCCGGTGTCTAAAGCTCGCAGGTTGGCACCTCCGGCTTGTCCCCCCAGTATTTCGTCAGTAACCTTCTCATACGCTTCAAGGGTAGAAGAGAGATCTTTTTGCTGCTGTTCGATCACGTCAAGCGATTGGTCAATCGAGGTCTGTTCACGCTCTGCTCCCAAAAGCGAAGCAAACAAAGCGGCCAGCTGGACGTCTTGTTAGACAAATCCTTCTAATAAAAACGAAAGGTCTTACGTTGTTGCTGTTTTCTATCAAAGCTCGATCCCAGGCAACGACTTCACTGGCGAACTTGTTGAATTCCCGCACGTTAACATCCAAATCAGAGGTCCATTTGTTCACGACCTCCTCTATCGTCTTGCCTTTTAGCATGGAGGGTGGTGGAACAGAAACTGCTACCGTCTGTGTCAACGAGGAGGTGCCTATTATACTAGAGGTTAATATCTAATTGATGGCATACTCAGTCCACATACCTGGATTATTGGTTGTCGCGGCTGGTGCCTCACTTGGTTTACCTATGAATTGAAATGTGGGCAAAGCGATTGTTTTGATCTCAGAGCTCCATACAGACCTGTAACTGTAGCGTCTTTCTTCTCACCTGTGGCTGCTGTGTTCCCAAACAAACTCCCGCCCAGTGAGGCTATAAATTATAATGGTAAACCAATAAATGCAAGTGAGACGATAACACTGGACTTACGAGCGGCAGGAGCTGTGGTATCTTTCTTCTCTTCAGGCTTGTTAGCAGAGGCATTGCCCCCCAAGCTGAAGAAGTTTGATGGGGCTCAAATACATATTCAGACTCGATGCACCCAAAGTATCAATATTATGCATGCTCACCGGGCGTACCAGCGGCTGGTGGAACAGTCGTTGTAACAGTCGCAGGCGCATCTGGTTTCTTCGCGAACAGTGAGCCACTAAAGAGCCCACTCCCAGTGGCTGCTGGAGCGGGCGGAGCTGTTGACGTGGAGGCTCCAGAGGGTGTCGCTGATGGAACTTCGGCAGGTTTAGGTGGGAGGCTGAAAAGGCCACTCCCTGTAGTAGGAGCGGGAGCTGCGGCGGTAGCAGTTGTGGCTGCCGGTGTAGTACTGGCCTGCGAGAAGACTGGGATCGTGTTATCAGGCGCATGGGTTGAGAATAGTTACAGAATGAACGTACAACTTGATGTAGCAGGCTTTGCTTGATCAGGTCCCGCAGGTTTAGCGCCAAAGCCACTGAACATATTGGGTGTCGAATTTGCAGGAGCTGAAGCGGGGGTTGTACCTGTAGTATTTGGGGCTGCGGCCCCGAACAACCCGCTACCAGTTGCACCCGTCGCGCCTGTTGCGCCTGGAGTCGTCGTCCCAAATAGCCCAGTACCCGTAGCAGGTTTTGCGCCTCCCCCAAACAAACCTCCTGTATTTCTAGCGCCCCCGCTACCAAACAAGCTTCCTCCTGCAGCACCTGGTGCCCCCGACACATTGCTCGCAGCAGCATTGCCAAAATTTCCCCCAGTAGGTCCGCCAGTGGTTGGGGTATTCGAAGTATTAGTCGTATTTGTTGTGTTTCCGAACATTCCTGTTGTTGGTGCAGCAGCAGGTGTCGCCGAGGAAGTCGCAGATCCAAATGTCGCGCCACCGAACAGGTTCGAAGTCGTGCCTCCAGGTGCTGACCCAAATAAGCCACCCGACGGTTGCTGACCAACTTAAAGTACACAGTTAGGCAAGAATATGTTTGAGCTTGGCATGACCCATACCTCCTGCAGTCGTATTCGACCCAAAGGCAGACCCAGTGGTGCCCGTCGTGCTCGTGTTTGTATTCCCAAAGATACTCATCGCGTATCTCTCGACCGGTAATTTGGGATGAAGACTTTGAGGTTGAAATTTGAAAGCTTGAAGCTAGTAATATGCGATTCAAGTTGTGGCCAACTTCCAGATCGCGCCTTTGCAAGTGTAATCCATGAAACTTCGAACAATAGCGATATATATTTTATTACAAAACAAAACCATACAACGGGGCGGTAGCTCAGTGGTAGAGCGTAGGACTGCAAAACCAGTTGGTTATCCCGAGGTCGCGTGTTCGACCCACGCCCGTCCCTCTTTTTGCCGTTTTCATGCACTCCGACAATTTTCTCCAATGTATCCAAGAGTTTACGCTCATTTCATACCGAGGACCTACGTACTCGCATGTGCCCTGGATCAGAGATATTCTGAAGTTTTTAGTCTAAGATCTCAGCTAGAGTAGAGTACCTACTGTCAAACGGATGACCTGGGACGATAAACATGCATAAACAAAACAGCCACTACAACGCCCGCCGTCTCTCCTGTGAACTCGAACCTCGACTCTCATTCATATATCCGCTAGCCACCATGGCAGCACGAAAGCTACAATGTAAGCACGTTTCAGCTATATTTTTTGCCGCTACTTACTATCTGCTGTCGCAGCCGAAATCGACCGGACGCTTAAGAAGGTAACAGAAGGGGTCGAGCTCTTTGAGAGCATATACGACAAGATGCAAGCGTCGACAAACCAGACACAGAAGGAGAAGCTCGAAACCGACCTAAAGACACAGATAAAGAAATTGCAGCGATTACGAGATCAAATCAAGACGTGGATAACGGGCAATGACATCAAGGATAAGAGTGCACTTCTCGACACACGAAGACTCATTGAAACGGTATGCGCTTTTCATGCAATGCATTGTACAGTCGTACTTTCACATTGCATCAATTACCATTCATTTTACTCTTGTTCCATGCATACGGACTCACCGGGTATTCGTTGTTAGCAAATGGAGAAGTTCAAGGCTTGCGAGAAGGAGATGAAGACGAAAGCTTTCTCAAAAGAGGGTCTAACACAAGCCTCGAAACTCGATCCGAAGCAGCAGGAGAAGCTGGAGACGACACAGTGGCTACAGAATCAAGTGGAGGAACTTTCGCAACAAGTCGAAATGGCGGAAGCAGAGATCGAGACACTACAAGGAGGTGCGAAGAAGAAGCACAAGGCCGGACAACAAGCAGAACGTTTAGAGTCTCTAGAACACCTAAATGAGCGAAGAAAATGGCATATCAATCGTCTGGAGCTCATACTTCGGCTCTTGGACAACGGCTCAATGCCGGTGGAGAAGGTGAACGATTTGAAGGAAGACGTGAGCTACTTCGTAGAAAACAATGCGGTATGTGTCTATATACGTATAGCCCTATGCATAGCCCTCCTCATAGTTGTACAGGATGATAACTATAACGAAGATGAGGGTATATATGATGAGCTAAATCTTGACGAGGAGGAGGAGAAATTCGGCCTGGCACAAGACGACCATGACAGCGACGATTCAGAAGATGCTAGCGAAGGTTTGTATGTTGTCGCGATACCAGAATGCTACTTATCGAGATATTTACTAGATCTTCCACCTCGAACGCCATCGAAATCCAAGCACCACGACGAGGAAAGTGTGACGAGTAGTAAACGGGACGGTAGCCCAGTGTTAAAGAAAGCAACCACAACATTGCAACTGCGAAGTAAGCTTCCTATTATCACATTAGTATGGGGTTACTTAAAATAGTGTAGAGCCCTCAATAGCGTCGGAAAGTAAGTACTCAAGGACTGTACGTTCCCGAAGCATCCGTGTTAACATTGCGTTAGCTGCAAAACCTCCACCGCCACCAAATTTCGAACAAAAACCCATGGCAAGTATATTGAAGGCAGGTCTAGACAAGCCTCAAATACGTCCGGCACCTCTACCCGTACGTTATGCAGCCGCGGCCGCAGCGGCAGTTGCTCCTGCAAATCCACCACCTCAGTCACCAGCAACGGCAACACCTTCAACGTCAAATCAAAGCTCTGCGCCAGTTGCACCGCCGATATCAACAACGCTCTCATCAGCCGACCAAGTATCTGCAGCCGCCACGTCTCCCAGCTTGACACATCCATCGTTGACAAGTCCCGTTATGTCCTCGGCAGCCTCAAATTCTGCTGCTATAGCCGAAGATTCAATCTACGATTCACCCTCTTTGTCAGAAGCACCTGTAGCATCGACTTCACCAGCAGCAAGAAACGGTAATCATAGATTTCTTGCGCCTAGTCATTTGCTGACCTTCGTCATAGGTTCACCGTCAGTACCGTTTGCATCGGTGCGCGTTTTTGCATGCCGTACACATGACATTACTAATATAACCACTCAAGCAACCGCCCGTCGAGTCGCGATCGGTTCCAATACCGAATGGCACCGCAGTACAACAACAATCTGGACCATCACCACTCGTCGCTGAGCCCCAGTCATATCCTGCAACTCAACTAAATGGTGCATCTGCACTTCAGCAAACATCGCAACAACAATCTATGCCACATTATCCCCCAGGTGTTAAGGAGCCTTCCACGGATCTCCCCCCTCCCGGCCTAGCAAGCACACCGCAACAGCAAGCACCTGGCGCAAGGCCAACATCGACAGCTCCACAACAAGTGGTTCCTCAACAGACCAGGCCGAACGTACCGAGCGGCTTTCCTGGCTCGTTGTCTGATTTGGTAATGTCCTTTGAAAACGTGAAGCAGAAAGGTTGGTTTGGTGACTATTATATATGACCGTGTTGATGACGTATGCCACCTTTGTGTGATTACTCCTGTGAAACAGCTCCGCATCGCATGTCGAACCTTGAACAAGTTCACAAGCTTCTGGAAGGTAGCTACTCGACGATGCCACAACCGCAGGACACCGAGAAGTGCGTTGGCCTCCAGGAGTGTTCAACGTTGAATTCACTTACATTCTATAGGCCTAAATACTACGTTCCGAAGCACCCTATTAACACTCCTTCATATTATCCCCAAGCACCGAGCCCTATCCTCAATACTCCTGCTATCTTCTCTCAGCTTGACGTCGAGACACTCTTCTACGTATTTTATTTCCACCCCGGTACTTATCAACAGTGAGTAGGTCGATATATTGTTTTCAGCTCAGGGAGTCAAGAAGGTATTTCCATAGGTATCTCGCGGCCAAGGAGCTGAAGAGGCAGTCATGGCGTTTCCATGTGAAGTACTTGACGTGGTTCCAACGCCATTCTGAACCTCAAGCGATCACTGAAGAGTACGAGCAGGGGGTTTATGTATACTTTGACTGGGAAGGATCGTGGTGTCAACGGAAGAAGAGCGACTTCCGCTTCGAATATCGCTATCTTTCAGAGGATTAAATGTCCCTATTCTCTCCTTTTTCAAGCTTGGCGGCCACCATATCTCTATCGCCAATGCCCCATCGCTCTTTTATTGTTCACTGTAATACTGCTTTTTGATCATCTCAACTTCCTTTCCTTATATTTCTCCCTTCGCAGCAATGCCTGCCCAAGTGAATCAAATATAGTATAGTCACTTGTACATTACCCCTTGGACAATTCACCCTGAAGTTACAAACTACATCTTATGAGTGTGGAGTCTGCTCTGCCGAAAGCATTAAGCCAAATATCATTAGCAGAATTGTACGCGTGTAGGCCTGTATAAAAAGTCTAGGATTACTCGAGAACCACGACACCACCGAGGTCTGTGAACGCCTTCTTGAGTTTTTCGGCGTCCTCCTTGGCGACATTCTCCTTGAGAACTTTTGGTAGTGATTCGACGAACTTCTTAGCCTTCATAACCAATGACACAACATTTAGTCGTGCCATGTATTCAGAGCGAAGGAAGATACGCACATCAATAAGTGTCAAGTTAGGAATCATCGCCTTGACTTCTCGAATAATCTTGGGCTTGGCAGCAGCGTCGAAGGACTCCAGTTTGACGTTGAACACGGTCTTCTCCTTTGGTTTCTCCTTTTATTTTGATTCACGTGTGAATATAGATAGATAAATATGCCTTTGAACATTATAAAGGACGCACCTCTACTGGAGCTTCAGCAGCAGCAGCTACTGGCGCAGGTGCCGCAGACGGCATGGCAATCTCCTGGATATTGAGTCGTGACTGCAACATAATAATTTTATGAGTATTAGACTATCACAATTGGGAGAAAACAAAATTCGAGAAGACATTACCTTTAGCAACGTCACGAGGTCGGCAGCTTGTAGGAGGGTGAGTCCGGAGATGTCATCAACAATCTTGACGAGTCGTGGGTCTGAGGGTAAAGGAGCCGACGAAGATTCAGCTGGAGCAGCTGTGGCGAGCCATCTTGATGAGCCAGCAACAGACCTGCACGAGTGACAAGTCGAGTTGAGTTGTGACTGTAATGACCATGGTCGAACTGAATGAGCTGGACGTACCGTGCAACGGGACGCACCCTTGTAGCTGCGCGAAGAGCAAAAGCACACCGACTCTGCAACGAGAAGAGAGTCAGGGAGATGGAGGAGAGAAGAAATGCGAGTCGTGTGTGCTCACCGCCATAGTTTGGATGGATGTAGAGGGAGAGCGGCAATTGGCGGAGGGACAGCAGAAAATGGCCGGGTCGCCGTATGAACGAAGCGCCGGTGCAAGCCCGTCCGGCCGGGATCATGCCGACCGAGACGGCCACTGAAGCGCTCAGTGGCCGGATCCACGACCAGGACAGTAAAGGACACCGCCGTGACGACTCAAGTGCTCGACTCAGTCGACTCAGCCCTCGGGTGCCACTCAGGCCAACTTGAAGTTGCATCTTGAATATTGAATACTACTCGTGGAATACTCACCTCTTCTCAACACGCGAAGGGCTTGCTCAGAGGTGCGCACTATGTTATTTTACGATGCTCAAGTGACTCATGGTATGCTAACGTGTAGACACTCAATCCAACGGATTATAACCATGTCTAGCTAGTGTGCCATGGTTGAACAACGTATTGACCAAAGTCTGGTAGCAAGCGATTCTTTCTTATCCTTGACAGACCAAGCTGCCACTACATTATTAACTGAATTTTTGTCCAGATTACTGAGGAAAGAATTATTATTATATTCGAGGTCAGAGGATTTATTTGAGCCCAGCCCGCTACATTGTTCATCTAAATATCCCATTCTGTGTATAGAGTCCGTGTTTGCCTCCGCTAAATTGCATGAATCTCGCTCACACTGCGTAACCAGGAGTGTATTTCTTAGGGAAATATATGAGAAATGTTCCGAAAAGAATGACAATATTTTTTTCCCGAGGGAAAGCGC